ACAGTACTTGTATTAAATAAACAAAGAACAATCGCTCTGCAAATAAAAGTACTTAGGTGGGGAGAGAAGGAAGAGGAACTGGGGCTGTGGCGTTCCTGCCCCTCTCCCTCATCTTCTAACATCATCCACCCCCACCCCCACTCAGCTTTTTCTCATCTTCTCCTCATTCTTTCTCTCTCCTTTCTCTTGAGCTAGGAGATTCTATGGGGAAATCTTAACAAAAGTTGATGGAAACACACACACATATATTTATAGTGTTACATGTCACACATATAATATTGAAGTCATAATATTATATGTAAAATATATGTTTCTGAGGAGATGAAAATTGAGCTAACTTGGCATAAAAGTAAAGGTAGGTCACTGCAACTGTGTCTTAATAGAGTGTCTTGAATGGCTGTGGACCCTCTGCCAGTGGCTTCCCTGGCCCTGCCCATTGCCATAGCAATACTGAAGCTGTGTGTGGATGTACCATAAAAGCAGTAGTTCGAATTTCAAAGAACATGCCTTTGAACTTCTCCCTGCCTGATTAGGCACTCACTCACGTTGTGTGTGAATGTGTGTGCTCTGGAGTGTTCGTGCATGGGCGTGTGGGAGTATATAAGTTTCTGTTCCAGGAGAAGTGTGCTGACAATCCCAGCGTGATGGTTTCACTGTGAGTCTCCTTAGCCATCCCTCCAGTCCTGGAAGGGTGGGTTTCCCATGGCTATGTGTCTATTTTGGTAGACTAGGGGTGGATGGGCAAGCAGATAGTGAAATGTGACAGGCTGAAAGTATTAATAAGTGTCAGGATTGTTTTGTTTTCCTTGTGTTCAGCTTTCCTTTCCTCTGACTTAAGGTGATCACTTGAGACCCAGACTGGCTCCCTTTCTCTCTCCCCCAAGTTGTAGTTCCTAACCAAATAGGGATAAAAAATACGTCAGGCACGCATTTCTTGTCGCATTTCATAGAGTGATATATAAATAAATGATAGATAGATAGATAGATAGACAGACAGACAGAATGGGATGAACTACTGTCTCAAAAAGTTTCCAGAAAATGCGAGATATAAATGACAAGACTGCAAACTATACAAATATGATGTCTGCCATAATTGGGCCTAGCTTTCAAGGAGTTTGGGCCTCCTCTTTTCCTGTTCCCAATGCTACCCCTCTTGTGTGGCCATCTCCAACTCCTTAAAAAAATGTAATTCCCACCCTCAGGCTCTCTCAGTGCTTTATATTTTAGGAGCATTAGCTTTACCAAAGAACGTCCTGAATGAGGAAGAAAATATACACAAACTACTAATAATTGTTGTTTAAAGATTCTCCTAGCCTGGAAAACAAAGGTAGATGATTTAAACAGTGTTTTCGAAAGCCACGAGGGCCACGTTTTGCCTAGGAAAGATGAAGTCTTTGATGATAGCCAACTTAGTGTCAATAAGTGGCTTTCTTTGAGACATATTCAGATGGGAACGTCTTGCTTGCCAATTGCCATAGAAATCTTAACACACCATGAAGATTGTCCAAGCGCCAAGCCTTCCGTTCTGGACTAAATTACTTTGAAGTGGCGCAGGACGAGCAGTGGTCAATTTTAACTCTATAGACTGGACAGAGAACGCTGGGAGTGGGAGATTGTGCGTTTTAAAGCAGAAAATAAGAAGGGGAAACTTGTTTTATACACTCTATACAAGGTTCTGCTCATTGTCAGATATCTTTTATCTTTTATATTTCCCATGAATGATTCATGTCTTGGTGGCTTTGTGTCACCCTTCTTTTCACAAGAAACTTCATTAGAGAGCTATAAGTTTTCCCATTGATTGGGGCCCTCATTGATGAGTGTTTTTCTCCTTCGTGTGCTGGTTATTGTTATCGGGCTTAAAACAACTCTTTGCAACCTGTTTCACCTTTACTACATTTAACAAACCTGACTTTTAAAAACCACTATAACCTTTTAGAGAACTCCTTATTGACATTACTACCAATTGTTTTTAACTATTTGCCTTTTATTAGTTTTGTATCAGTTAACATAAAAACAGGCAAATATTTAGCCTTACGTAGACAGGCAATTATATTAAGCCACTTGGATATCTGGTTGCTATGAAAGAAGCTAATTTCTCCTTAAACCTGCCCCAAAATGCTAACTTACTTATATCCACTCAACTTCCAAATAAACCACAATAAAATTGGACCCCCACCCCATCACCTGATGTAAGAGGTATTTGATGCCCACCACTCAACTTCAGATGTTTAACTCAATACTCATCTCAGCTCCTGATTTTGCTTTTGTCTGGAAGCCTCTAAATGTCCCTCCATCTTTTTCCATATTCCTTTTTACTCTTTTTAGAGGCTAGGCACCAAAAGAAATGCTACAATTCATTTTTCACTTATTAGGATCACTAGGATATTAATTTTAACAAATGAATATGGTAGCTCCTAAGATTTATGCTAGTGTTACATGCAATCTGCAGGGCTTAATCTTCATAAACATATTTTATTTTCCGCATCAGATTATAAATTATACCAAACTGTAAACATATTCTATCGCTTGGGGAGAGGCTAAGAAATGAAGAGGGCAAGGGAAGAGAACCTAATGTTCACTATGTCGGCAACTTATTGTTTCAAAAAGAATGGCAGAGATATGCCATTATGTAAAACATATGCAATACATAGGAAGAATACCTTTATTAAATTTTTTACTCCATAATCATTCTTGCTTTCTATTGAAGGTACACATTTTAAGTTTTTTATTTTAGGTGTATCAGGAACCAATAAATCTGTGGCAGGGTTAACCTATGCATGGCAAAATACATAAAATACATATTCCTTTGTTTCATAATAAATAAACCTGTAGAATAATAAAGAATAGTGCAAACTACCATTGAAAAAGTTGTATAAATAAAACAACTCATTACAAATCAGGAATATTTTTGTTCTAATAAGTTTACGACACATAAATTATCCCCCCAAAGTTCATACCTTATCTATTTGAAAGAGCTTCGAAAGTGAATATGAAGATCAAATAAACTTTTAAATGTAGAATTATTTTATATTCAAGTTTTATCGTCTTTTTCTTTATAAAGGAGGGTCTGCATGTTTCATATTCACCATAATAATTTGAAGACAACATTGAAAGGCTCTCAAAGTGACAGCACCATGCACTGTACTAGTAATATAATATATCTATAAACTATATATAATTTCATCAACACAATGCAAAAAAGACATGCAGGAAGAGTCCTGGTTTTCACATTACGTTGTTCAAGTAAGCTTAAAAATATATTTTTCCATTTTCTCTTTTTTTTAAATAAACCATGGATCATAAACAACAATCTTTCACCAAAATGTATAATATAATTCTTTGGTGTGCTTTGAACTCTTCCAGGAAAAAAAAAAAAAGGATGATGTCTGAAAATAAATTAATTCAACTGTACAAATAATAGTGTTCACATACAAGTTATTAACAATGACAAGACTACATCAAACAACTCACAGCACACAAAACAAATTTCTACAAACCCCGGGGAGGGGGTGTTTTCAGGGTCTCTGAGGATAAATTAGTGCTCTTTAGTATATTTGTATGATGTTTATGATGGACTACATTTTGCACACTAGATGTGTTGTACCAACCAAAAATAAATTGACTAAGAGTTATTGTCCTAGGTCCTTGACCTTTTTTATCCTGGCTTGACAGCCCTGGCAAAGGTCACACATTCATCAATGTTTGGTGGTAACTATAAACCTTGTAAAAATTTTAATATGTATAGCAACTCCCTCCCCTCCTTTAATGTAAATCATACACTTCACACACTGTCATTTTCAAATGAGATAGAGTTCAGTGTGCTCAGTGCTCAGGTGGAAGAAAATGCATTAAAATGCACTTTCAAGCATCGAAAAATAAAGGCTTTTTAAAATGTTGATACAAGAGTATAAAAGAGGGATTGGCCTATTTTAAAAACAAGTTTTCCAAAAAAAAAAAAAAAATAGGCATATTGCCAACATCACACTCCTTAGACTTGCCTGTTAATTTTGGCATCCCAAAGAACTTATGATCTAAAACAATCTCTTTACTACACAGGAAGTTTGGACACAGTAAGGAGGCAGCATCTTATACTTCAGATTTAAAAAAGAGGAAAAAGAAAGCACTTGAATTTCTTCTATTTTATAAAATATCATTTTCACAGTTGTCTATTGCAGCAGCTTTTTCTTCTATCCACTTGTGTTCGAGCAATCACAGTAGCATAATATATGGAGATCTATTAAGGTTGCTGCATCTTTTTTTTAATCATGTAAGCAAGGTACTGAAGAAATAATCCTGTATAAAAATACGGTGTTTGGGTGAGATCAGTTAATAAAAGAGTAGAAATGAAAAATTACAACTATTAGAACTTAAAAGGTTTTTACAAATATTTTTGGACACAGGTACAGTCCAAGATCTGTTGGCAATGCAGCAAGTGTGTGGTTTACAATCAAGAGGGCTTTTTGCAGAATTGAGGCCCAAAGAGGAGGCGAAGAGGCTCCAAAGAAGCCTGAGTTATGGTGTCAAAGGCATTTGCGAGGCACTCTAGGAAATGCAGAGGGCCTTGTTGCTGTGTTGAGTTGACTTAATGCTTTTTCTCTCCCCTTTAAGAAAGAAAAAAAGAAATAAATACATATATGTATATGTGTGTGTGCGTGCGTGCGTGCATTGGCAGTGTGTATCTTGATTAATTAATCTCTCCATTCACTTTTCTTAGTACAATTTGCTCCCAGCTCTGTCCCCCTGCAACATATAAGTCCAGCTTGGTTGCTTTTTTCGTTTCGTTTTTTTTTTGTTTTGTTTTTTTTTAAAGCTCCAAATATCTTAATTAAATTAATTAAATGTACAAACACCATAGGGTTTCATACTGAATAAATAGGGCTAATTAGACCCGGTGGCAAGTCTGAGTCATGGATTTGTTTCAGGCTCGGCATTGTCTCAGGTTAGGATATGGTCCAAGGATTTCCACTTATTATTTTACTTATTATTATTACTAATGAATTCTAATGTATCGTCCGCACAACTTCAGAGTTCCCATATATCTCTTCATCTTCAGACTCGGAAGTGGTTCCATTGCTGGAAGGTGTGTGGAGGTGGCTGGGGGCTCCACTGGCCTGGCAAACGTACCACTCATTGAGGTTGGTCACCTGAGGGGACAGAGTGCTAGAGCGACTCCTAGTTGGGTCCAGCACAGGGGACAAGGGGGCACCCACTGGAGTCCCCACTGATGAGTAACCAAGGGCTCCTGGAGAAGGTGGTGGGGACTTGCAGTGAATCTTCATGTGCTTCCTCAGGGAGCTCGGGTGAGTGTAGGATTTGTCACAGCCTCGAATCTTGCAGTAGTAGGGCTTGTCACTGGTGTGGACATGAGAATGTTTCTTTCTATCACTGCTGTTGGCAAACTTCCTGTCACAGCCATCAAATTCACATTTGAAAGGCTTTTCCCCTGCAACAAAACATAGGAAAGGTTAACAATTGCTTTTCAGAGACCATTCACTTGAAAGAGAAATCTTGGAGCAAAAATGACGATGCATTTTCCCATTCTCTAGAAAACCAACTCCCAGACTAATTCCTATGTTCCAGGATGCAACAGGGAAGGAACACTTCAGGGATGGGTCTGATGACTCCTGGCCTGGAGGCTCTCCTTGGACGTGAGCTTGTGAAAGGCTAGATGTCAGTCCCCACAGTACCATAGGGGTCAGGGGAAGAATGGCTAGACCGTGGTCCAGGATGTAACACTGAAAAACAACTAGGACCCGACTACCCGTGTCCTCACTCCCCTCAGGCTCTGTACATGAAAAAATACAGGCAGCTCCCCCTGTCAATGTAAATGCTGATAGAATGACACTTCCAATGCCACAGCTTAGGGCAAGAATATAAGAAAATGAGAAGAAAAATGAACACATACACTAAATTAAAAAGTAAACAGGGCGGTGCAGTAAAATTATAATGGCATTTTGTTTCATAGTGTTCCCCAAGATTTCACTTATGGAAAGGGGAAGAAAATAAAACAAAATCCTGTTCTCTTCAGAAATAAAAGCACCCATGAAACACACAATCCAACCACTAGATGTTTTACAAGCCTAGCTGGGCAGGGAACAGGCCATTGGCCTCTTCTTTCTACCAGCTTTCCTCACAACTTGCAGGGCAGTTAAGAGCCTTGTGGGACAGGGCCTTAACAAACATTAATAAACAACACAAGCCTCAGCCAGAACCTGGCATTTACCTGATGCCATAAGTAAACTTATTCTAACAGTCTTCTACATTGCTTAATAGTCAAAAAAAAAGATGTACTTACTATTTACCAGAGTCTTTTGGATCATCATCCCTTTAAGCTACTCTAACCACCCCAGGAACACAGTAACTTTAAACACAAGGCCCCTACTCTTGGAAGTGGAAACACTCAGTAAGATTAGAAATTCAGCCACACTACACTTCGGTATTAAAAAGCAAAAAAGAAAGACAGTAAGTAACAGTATGAATTTTCCCTCTCACCTTAGTTATCTATGAACTTGATGTCCATAACTGAATAAGGCATCTCATACATATTACATATGAACATATACTACTGTATTAACATTTTCCTCATATTTAAATAATTTAAAAAATAAACATGGATTTCTTCACATTTCAGTAGCTACTCTGATGACACACAAAGTATGGCCTTTCCTTGGTTTTGGATAATTTATTAAAAAAAAACAATAACAACTAAGTTTAGTGTGTGTAATTTAAGGTGGTGAATTTTTAAATTATCGTCATACAAATATTTCAATATAGTTTTGTTATTAATTTCACCAATGATAACTGGTTCAATGCCAGAGTACGTTAACGCAGCTGAAAAAATTTCGATGCCTGGAATATAAATGACCCTACTTGAAATATTATTTAAAATTAAATTAGATATTTATTCAAATACACATCCTACATTGATCTATAAAGAGGAAGAACACAGCATAACACAATAATTATCACGATTTAAAAAAATTCTCTGTAAATGAGCTGCAACAAAAAGTTAACTGATCTTTCATCAAAACATTATTTGTCCCGATTTCTGTATTCTACTTTAAATTAGAGATAATAATAATTTAATACAGCATTCTTTAAAAAAAATTATAATCAGCTTTTTTCAGTATGGAGATTTAGGTAATTTTATTCACTCTATGCAAATGTGCAATGTTGTTTTTTTTGGAATTCTCATGTTTCCATACAAGCTATTTATCCCGTACTGTGAAGAATAAACGGCTTGAACATTGCTGGCTCCACCACTGCATATGATAAAGAGAAGCAACACTGACTTAGTAAAGAAGAGATGAGGAGTGGGAAAAAAGGTAGAAAATTAGGAATAAAATAAGTAAGAAAAAAAGGGTGACAGAATTACCTATTTTATTCAGGGGGACTTAGAGGACAGTGAGCAAATTCTTCCTAACTAGAAAGGGTGAGACCCCATGTTTACATTTCAGATTCTAACATAGGGGTCAAGTCAGAATTTACTTACAGAGTTTTAGAGAGTAATGGGAACTACGTGTGGGTAACTCAGATCCTACCAGTTCCCTCTCCAGAGAGAACTTCAGTCCCGCCCTGAGAGGAAGGTTATAAACGGAATTGGGGGCACACATGGGTCAGGAAATGGGCCTTCGGGAGTGGCCAGGGAATTATTCCCTTTGATCAATCTGTTCCGGGATCCCAGATAACCCCCAAAAGAGAAAGCGGCCTCATACAAAGGTGAACCCGGTGGCAGTTTTTGGAGACAATGTTCAATGGCTAATCGGCCCAGGGACCGCTAAAAACACCTGACGCGGGTTTGAGTTATAAACGAGAGAGGAGCTCGCAGCCCTCCCGGAGAGACCCGGCGAGGCCCATGCAGTCACAGGAGCCCGGCGTGAATGTAACCATGCGCACGACGTGGAACCAGAGAACAAAACGGCCGGGGTCTCCGCATGCCACCTCACGGCCAAGCACGCGCGCACGCCCCCTCCTGGGGGGCCGCGGTCTAGGGCAGCGGGAGGCTCTCTGTCCCACAGAGGTCGGAGTGCTAGGACGAGGGTCAGTTTCCGCGCCATCAATTTCCAGTTCCTAGCTTTACCCGGCAAAAAGGGCCCTCGGCTCTGGGCAGCTTCCCGTCCGGCAAATGGAAGGTCCGCTCCCCCTCTGAGGCCTAGAAAGGAGGGAAGGGCCAGGCCGCAGGCTCTGCTTTTAGGTCTTCAGCTCCCGCGCCCTGCGCTCGCCCAGGCCCTCGCCCAGTCGGGAAGTACTGGGCACAGGGGGAAGCAACTGGTTTAGCTGGCCAGGGTTTTTATGAGAGTCTTGTGGGAAGTTTCCTCGGAAAAACATTTAAGCGGACGGATCCGATTAGAAAAGAACCAGACAGGCAAACGAAGCTCCCGGGAAAACGTGCTCCCGGCCCATTACTCGCTGGTCCACACGAGGCCAGTCTGGTGTCAGCCGACAGGAGCGTGGCCCGGAGCTCCAGCCTTGGGTTACTGGCTCCTCCTGCAGATCCCCCTAATGCCCTCGGCCCCCGCCGCTGGCCAGGCGTTGGGACGCACGCCCTGCGGCTGCCTCCTCGCCGCCGCAGCACCGATAAATCAGCCAAGTAATTACTGAAAGTAAACTACAGTTACCTAAGTGTCCTCTGAGGGGTAATATTGTCTTTCCTTATAAATCTCGACTGCGCTCGCGTTCATCAGCGCTTCCGCCCAATACGCCTGTCCGTTCAAAGGGAACACACGACCCACAGGCGCCATCCCACCACCCCACGTCGCAGCCGCCCTCGCCCGGGGCCACGGCACTCCCAAGGCAGGGCTTGGGATGGCTCCCCACGGCGCTGGGGACTTCCCCTAAATTCTACGGCGGGGGGAGACCCCCAAAGACCGCGCGCGGGAGGCTCTGCAGCTCACCCTGTTCTCCAACTAGAACCTTCTTTAAAAGGACAGAAACCGATTTCTCCAGCACCCTCTAGGGCATGTGATAAATACGTGTGATGGCGCTGTGTGACGGCGCGTGTGAGTATGGATGTGTATTAAGGTGTGTAGACGAGGTAGTGTGAGTGAGGGTGTATGTGTAAAGCGAGTGTGTCAGAGCATATGGGTGTCCTAGCTGGGAGGAAGGGGGTGGGGTGTTTGAGGGAATATGGGTGTGTGAAGTTTGCGTAGCATGTGCACGTGAAAGTGTATGTAACAATGAGCGAGAGTGTGTGAGCAGGGGGGAGGTCGCCAGGGGCCCCTTTCCTTTAGTATTTGCACCCTACCCAGGAGAGAAGGGGCCCCTGCTCCTCCTGGAAGGGCCACGCCGAGCTGGGCCTGGTGGCCCCAATACCGCAGCAAATCCCAGGCGCCCCTTACACGTCCGCTTTTCCAAGCGTGGCGACCGCGCACGGGCTTGCCACGGGTGAGAAGGAAAGAGCCCCCAGGGCGGCTTCGGCTCCAGCACCCCTTTTTCCCATCGCCCACCCCAAGTTCCCGGGGCCGGACAGATAGGGGCTGCCGACCGTCCTGGGCTCCTTCCTGCTCCGGCTGCTGCTGCTTCTGCTCCGGGGCGGCGGCGGCTGCGGCTGGAGCGCGTTGCCGGTCCCGGCGGAGGGGCTGCGGGAGCGCTGGAGACTCCACCGTGTGGGAACCCAGCGCAGGGCCTGTGTGTGCTATCGAATTACTTATTCATAGAAAAAAAGGGGGGAGAGAAAAAAAAGAAGTCACATGTCCGGGTTATACGTATGCGAAGAGAAGCAGCAGAAGGAGGGAAAAATTAAGGCGAGCAGGAGGAAGAGGAGGAGGAAGAGAAGCAGCGGCGGAAGCGGCGGCGGCGCGGGCGGCGGCGGCGGCGGGGCTGGGGACAGACACCCACCTGTATGAGTGCGCTTGTGGATTTTGAGGTTCTCGGAGCGCGCGAAGACCTTGCCGCAGCCCGGGAAGGGGCAAGGGAAGGGTTTCTCGCCTGTGTGCACGCGGATGTGATTGACCAGTTTGTATTTGGCCTTGAAGGGCTTGCCCTCGCGCGGACAGTCCTCCCAGAAGCAGATGTGGCTGCTTTGCTCGGGGCCGCCCACGTGCTCTACCGTGACGTGGTTCACCAGCTCGTGCATGGTACCGAAAGTTTTGGAGCAGGGCTTGGCGCCGCCGGCCGGGGGCGGTGGTGGTGGCGGC